TTTAACTAAAATGTTAGGTTTTCTGCAGCAATTTTCGTGAATACTGTGGCAAACGGGGATTGCTATATTGTAGTGAATTTGATTAAAACAAGAATCCATCAGATGAAAATCTGTAATTAGATGGACAGTCTCTGAGATTCCGTTGGCACAACGTAAAAGACACGATCTTCTTTAAAATGCGATTGACATTTAAAACATTCGCATGCATTACATTTTTACAAAAACACAATTCTGTATTTGCCACTGTAACTCCTCTGGAATTTTGAATCTTCGTAAAATCATTTTAACTTATCATTTTACACATTAATTACAAATAATTTTTAAAGAAAGTGCTATTTAGTTAAAAATTTTGGGAAATTTGGGAAGAAAATTTTGATATCAGACTTGTCATTAAAAATCGGACTTATTTTTAAATATCAGACTTGTCATATCTTACTGTCTCTAATAACTACAGAACGAATGTACAAAAAAGAAAAGAATATTTGCAATTTTACAATATTGACAAATTTTATTCTATACTCTCATTAGTAGCCCTATTTTGTAATAAAACAAAAAGTAATTGGTACTTGCATGGATAATTTCTAAATTGCTGGGCAAAATTGAAAATTGAGACTGCCTTTTAATATGTAATTTATATCTTAGTGCTGCCATCTAGTTTTAATGCTTAGAAATAATATCTCATCCGAGATGTTGTGATGCACTCAACCTCTTTACGTGTTGATTTTACCTAAGCTATAATGTTATTTTTACCTATTAATAAAGTTTCATTCATTTGCTTGTCATAAAAAAAACTGTAATTCAGTATTTAAGATGAATAAAAATACATTTTCATTCCGAAGTTCTACGTTAGGTAAGTGCGTAATTCTATAATACGTAAATATGAAAGTAAAATTTATATTATTCACTATTTTTATTGCTCTTATATATATATATATATATATATATTATTCACTTTTTTGTTTCGTAATCCAATTTGATTCTAACTGATAAAGTTCTCTTTTTTAGTATTTTTAAAGAATACTTTGGAATCTGTCATAATTCTTTTATTTGACAAATCAATTATCACCGGTATGGATCAAATCATTTTTAATGGCTGATTCATAAAAAGATTTAAAAAATTAAAAATACACTAAATTAAAAAGCATAAGAAAACAATGCTTATACTGGCTTTTAGAATATCAATCTTAATATGCGGACAATTTAAATTCCATGCTTGTTAATGAACTGAAGCATAGGAACTAATTTGTAAATAAATAAATACAATTACTTTTCAGACGTCAATTAATTATTAATTATTTGATTTTATTTTTAAATGTATTTTGATGAAATGACACGTGCTTGATACCTTTTCTGCCAACTGGTGTATTCATTTTTCAAAAATAAGGAAAAATAATAGGCTTGACCGAAGGGGAGAGTTAATCTATGATCAAAGCTAATTTTTTTTTACGTAAATACTTTAGATGATGTGCATCAACTATCAACTTGATGTACATCAACTAAAGCATTTACGTGTAAAGAAGTAGCTTTGATCATAGATTAACTCTCCCCTTCGGTCAAGCCAATTATTTTTCCTTATTTTCGAAAAATGATATAAAATGTCTATAATTCTTACCGCAGTCAGACCTCCTAAGCCTAGTGGCCAATCAGAAGCTGAATTAGGGTCTGTTGGATATAGCGCCTGTGGAGCTCGGTCACCATGGCGATACATCTATATGTAAATAAATAAACTACATTAAAATAAATGAATTTATTTCAACAAAATTAGTATGAATAACGGGCATTTCAAGTTACTGAATGAACTAATGTAATGTAAACGAATAAGTTGCTGAATAAGTAAATTTTTCTTTGAAATTCTTTTCTCTATTTCATATATTGAATTACAGTAGGTATATAAGCAAAGAAAGTATTTTTTAAAGTGTTTTCTAGTATTAATGCGAGATTGTAAGAAAAATCTGGTGTTCGTAAAGTTTTAATAGAAATTAATGGAAAATTCATCAAACATAATTAAGTTAAAAACAGAAGAACCAGTTTCATGTTCTGAGGAAACTGAGAGAAAATAGAAATATCTTAAATTTCATTTGGCAACTAAACTTGTTTTGAGTTTTGAATTTTCTCCCTTCGATGTTTTAGTATCATTTTTTTTTTTTTTTGACTGAAATATTATTTTCCAACCCGTTATGATGTCCACCGTCCCCCCCTTTTTTTCAAGTTTTTAAACAAATGTTCAAAAAATGCATATGATATCAAAACAACCTGTATACTTTAGATTCTTCGAGTTCAGTAAACTCTTTTCCTAGTATTTGCAGATATCAAAAGAGCAGTGGTGGCTCAGAGGATAGAGCGCTTACCTCCCCATGAGGTTACCCGAATTCGAATCCCATTGATGGCTGGTCGAAACGAATTCCGCACCCAGCCTGCACCGACAACAGTGCTGACGTAAAATATCCTTAGTGACAGACGGATAATGGGTTAACGTCTATTTGCCGTCAGGTAAAGCAAATGTGAGTTAGTTCCATCATAAGGTCCTCCACGAAGGCAAATTTCTCTCATTACTTGATTCAGGAGTTCCTTAGTCTTCTGTTTTGGTTTCAAAACTACAAGGTTGCAGAGTAGCAGACATTAGTAGTACAAAATTTAATCGGCTGTTCAACGCCTGTTATAAAATAAAATAAATTAACAAAAAGTTATCAATTTCGATATATCATTTCATTATATATCATACTTATTTAAAGTCTCATTTTTAAAAAATAAGCAAGTAGAACACTATTTTTTTTTTGAAAATTTAAGATAATTTTAAGAATTTTCTGAAATTGAAGTTTAATAAAATTAGACCGTGGTCTTTCCAGTAGAGTCTTTTGTGCAATGTATTTTTTTTAAAACGAAACACGTACCATGCATGTTTTAGCATCATTGTCGAAAATTAATTGATAATAATTTAATGTAAATTGCTAATGTAATTGCAAATTTTATAACTAAATTGAAAATAACAGAAATTTTAAAAAAAGAAAGTTTACAAGTGTTAGAAAGGTTGTGAATAAGAAGCAACTTTCTTTGATGTCATACAAAGAACGAGATAAAAAAAAATCATATTTTTCAAGTTGTCATTCATTTCATGTTCAACTCTATCGTGTTATTAACAATTCATCTTGGCTGTTGAACTAATAAGTTATTTATTTCATGACAAACTTTATATGAGACTAACAAAATGTACAATTAAAAATTAATATAAAATATTTATTTAAAATCGTTGGCCAACTTTAATGAGTTAGCCTTCCATAATATTTAAAAAATAATCTATTAGATGAAAAACATTTAGCCTAACATAAGTTTTTTTATGAACCAAGTTATCACGGATTTAAAAAAAAATATTTTGGAGAAAGTTACTATGATAGCCAAACAAAATTATTACATTTAATTTTGATCTCTTAATAATCAAAACTATGCCTGCAAAACCAGATCTGTGTCAATACTTTAATTGATTAGTCTTTTATTCGATGAAAAAATCTGTTTAAGGTCAATAAACAAAAAGTATTAACAAGGCAACAGTAACGGATGGGTCGCAACTACTAATGCTGTCATGAAAACTGAACTTACCATCTGAACGAACTCCAATTTGTATTTATTGTTAGCTGCAAATGAAACGTTAATCAGGGTGATTAACATTGCAAAAACTACATTTTGATTGAACATGGCATCCATATTCATTGTTTTCAATTGCGGTTGAGTCTGGTAAGTACGAATACAACAGGTTGTTTATAAGCAGTTTTCTGAAAGTCATTTAGATATAGATAAGAAGTAAGAATATAAAAATAAGTAACAATTCAGACATTTAATGCTTCTGCATACATCCTTTGATTTGATGTCTGGAGCATTTCCCCATTTTTCGACATTATCCATCTGATTATAAAGATTATTTTAATAGTTTTAATTTTCTCTAACATAATACTTGCACATTCGCTTAAAACTGAAACTTAGTTTCAAGTTGTTTACACATAAAGGCAACTGTTTATATTTGAGCTTCTCGTACTTAAAGTTTGCCTTAGTTACAAGTAAATTTAAACACACCGTGATTACTTTTTATTGAAGCCATTCTACTAAAATGTTCAAATAAATTCTTACCGATTATCTATTCTACAGAACTTGTTGTTCTAAATGTAATGCAAACGTATTTTTACTATTACAGTGAAAACCAAATAAGTAAAATAATAAATTACCGTAATAGCCTATTGTGATTGTGGGGTCATAGAGATTAAGGTTAAACTATTTTGTGACTAACGGCATGACAATGGTGATGTGATTAATTCTGCGCGCAGACCACCTTTACCTTTACTTCCCAGACAAGCTAGTACCCATTGATCTGAAGCTGTGTGGGCTTTATCCTTCTATGGTGACAAGGGCCTCAAAAATCCACCATAGCAGTCCAGTGCCTAAACCACTATGCCATCACGATTCACGTAAAAGTATTGAAAATGTTGTATTAAAAACTTTAAAATATCAGAAAATTTATTTCAAATAAAAAACCTTATCTTGAACTTTTATGTTTAGAGCTTATATCTATGGCTAAAACACAGATTTTTCGTATGTAGAACGTATGTTCTGAAATAACGAGATTAAAAATCAGTCGCTGGTGCCAGTTATGGCAACCGATGTCCTGAAACTCTTAATACTAAGTCATGCACGGTTGTCATGTCACTTAAAGATATGAACGTTTCTCAAATTTTCAAAAAACCCTGACATATTTGCTTTCAAATGGTATAGACAGCCACAATCTGCGCTATTTATTGGGGTATAAACAAGTTATCTCAGGTCACGCATTCTATAACAAAACCTTACTTATTTTTCTGCATTCAAATTTTTAAATTTTCGTTTTTTCATATTAAATTTTTTCCAGACATTTTCTGAGCACCCTGAGCATAGTTTTATGTAATAGAACAGTAAATAAAGACCCTTTTCAAAGCAGTCCAACTCAATTTTCTGAGGTACAATTCTAAGTCTTCATGAATCTATGAATTATTCATACATTCATACACATACAGAGTTCAGAATAGTTCTCTGGTTCTTCAAAGAGGCATTTCTATGAGAGTTGCTCAAGGGATAATTGAATAATTTTGTTAGCTTTAGAAATGAATAAGTATCGATAGCAATACCACTCTTCAAGGTTATAAATTAAGATAAGAAAAGGGCATCATAGATATTGTTAGACCTGTTTTATAGTTTCACATTACAGCATTTAATGTAAAGTCGGGCTAATATCAAGCTATATATATATATGTGTGTGTGTGTGTGTGTGTGTGTGTGTGTGTGTGTGTGTGTGTGTGTGTGTGTGTGTGTGTGTGTGTGTGTGTGTGTGTGTGTGTGTGTGTGTGTGTGTGTGTGTGTGTGTGTGTGTGTGTGTGTGTGTGTGTGTGTGTGTGTGTGTGTGTGTGTGTGTGTGTGTGTGTGTGTGTGTGTGTGTGTGTGTGTGTGTGTGTGTGTGTGTGTGTGTGTGTGTGTGTGTGTGTGTGTGTGTGTGTGTGTGTGTGTGTGTGTGTGTGTGTGTGTGTGTGTGTGTGTGTGTGTGTGTGTGTGTGTGTGTGTGTGTGTGTGTGTGTGTGTGTGTGTGTGTGTGTGTGTGTGTGTGTGTGTGTGTGTGTGTGTGTGTGTGTGTGTGTGTGTGTGTGTGTGTGTGTGTGTGTGTGTGTGTGTGTGTGTGTGTGTGTGTGTGTGTGTGTGTGTGTGTGTGTGTGTGTGTGTGTGTGTGTGTGTGTGTGTGTGTGTGTGTGTGTGTGTGTGTGTGTGTGTGTGTGTGTGTGTGTGTGTGTGTGTGTGTGTGTGTGTGTGTGTGTGTGTGTGTGTGTGTGTGTGTGTGTGTGTGTGTGTGTGTGTGTGTGTGTGTGTGTGTGTGTGTGTGTGTGTGTGTGTGTGTGTGTGTGTGTGTGTGTGTGTGTGTGTGTGTGTGTGTGTGTGTGTGTGTGTGTGTGTGTGTGTGTGTGTGTGTGTGTGTGTGTGTGTGTGTGTGTGTGTGTGTGTGTGTGTGTGTGTGTGTGTGTGTGTGTGTGTGTGTGTGTGTGTGTGTGTGTGTGTGTGTGTGTGTGTGTGTGTGTGTGTGTGTGTGTGTGTGTGTGTGTGTGTGTGTGTGTGTGTGTGTGTGTGTGTGTGTGTGTGTGTGTGTGTGTGTGTGTGTGTGTGTGTGTGTGTGTGTGTGTGTGTGTGTGTGTGTGTGTGTGTGTGTGTGTGTGTGTGTGTGTGTGTGTGTGTGTGTGTGTGTGTGTGTGTGTGTGTGTGTGTGTGTGTGTGTGTGTGTGTGTGTGTGTGTGTGTGTGTGNCTTTAAATCTTGATTCCATAACTGATCAAGGTGATCAGTAAAAATTAAGATTTTATTTTCGAGAATCTCGATATCTGCCATTGAACACTTTTTAAGAGTTGGAAATTGCATTAGCTCTTTGCGACCAATGTTTGACTTGCAGATATCAAATTTGGCGATGAATGAAGATATGATTCCCTTAGCCTTGACAATGTTCATTTTATTTCCTTGAAGTTTTACGTTGATTTCCTTCATTTTTTTTCAAAACTATGAGTGAGGTACGCAGTTTCTAACTTGCGTTGCTTCAAACTCTCATTTAAAACAGGATCAATGGTGTCGAGAAACTCAGTAACCGAATCCAGCAATTCGAAGAAACGGCTCAGTTTCCTTTTGAAAGCCATCTCACAGCTGCATGTAGGAGCAGGAATTCGAAATCTTCATCACTTTCATGGCAAATTTCTCGGAACAAACGGTTATTAGGATAATTAGCTTTTATTTTATTGATTCCAGAAATAACCAATTTTTCACAGCCAAAAGTTGACGATAAATGGTGAGATAATTTCCGGTACTTTTTTTTTAAGGTGACCCAGAAACCCAGTATGACAACCAGTCATGGTTGGAGCACCATCTGTTGCACAAGCACTTACATTTGTGAGGGGAATTTCTTTTACCTCAAAATAATCTTTGACCAATTTAAAAATCGACGATCCTTTTGCATCTGTGTACAAAGTTCTTGTAAACAACATTTCCTCGTTAATCTCCTTACTCTCATTTATGAATCTCACGTAAGCTAAAGCAGCTCTGTTATCTATCACAGTTGATTCATCAATCTGCAACGCAAATTTGCCTTCTTTCAGAAATTTGATGAGTTTTGATTCAACGTTGGCGGCCATCTCATCAATACGCCTGGAAACAGTATTATTGCTCAGAGGAACAGAGTGACTAATCAGATTTCCGCCTACGATACCAAAACGTATGACGAAAACGATCCTGCACTTGCATTTTTTTAATTTTTAACAATCATTATTCTTTGTCTACACCAGAACCATAGGTTTCATATATATATTTTCAATTTCAATCTCAAATAGCTTTTTATTATTAATATTATTAGCAATTTTTAACTTTTGAGTACTCGTCGCCCCCTGATCGCCCCCCTACGGATTATCGCCCCCTTGAGAAGCTCTATCGCCCCCTTTGGGACGATCGCCCCCAGGTTGAGAACCACTGGGCTAAACAATTACCTTATGAAAGAAGGAAAACGAATAAAAGTGTTCATTCCCAGTTTACGTTTGTGTGCAAAGCTGAACAAATATTAACTATTTGAATGTTTTCCTTTTTTATGATTTTATAATTTTTATGCTTTTTTATTGTTGTTCCTTGTATGTTTTCTGACTAACAAGTCTAGAATAATTTTGATACCAGTTTATTTCAAATTAAAGTTGATAAAATTTTATGCTATGGATATTAGCCTAAATATATGAATATTTATTTAATATTTTCTAACAAAATTATATTTGATGAAAACAAGCAAATGCTAACCACATAATTCATTAAAAGTCTTCAAATGTTTAGCTGTTTATCACACCACTTAAACGATGCTAATTCCTCTGCTCAACAGCAGATGAAACTCAGTGCTGTTAAGAATTGTATTTTAGAACCACTAAACCAAGTGTCGGACAGAAGGCTCTTTTTTTTAAACTGACAACTATTCACCTCCACAAACTTTCCTCATTCATTTCGTGTTCATTTACGCATCTTGGTACCTACGTAAAAGTACCTCTTTTTCTTGGAAAAACGAAACAGCATCTATCTCACTCCTCGTTGAATAAAAATCGTCAAGTTTTTGTTTTAACTGCTTAAGATGGAAAAAATACCATATTACGCGATTTAAATGCAAAGCCTAAATAGAATCAAAAGGAAAGTGTGTATGGTTACTCTTAGTTTGGGTGTTATGGCTGGTTTTATTACATGATTTGGAGGTGTATCGTGGTCACCGTGAAAATCAATTAGTACCAGAAAAGTTAATGCAAGTATGTTTACAATATTTAAATTCTGAATCTTTTGATGCGATTTAAGTATGATTATATAAAAAAATATTCCCTCAAAATAGAATCTCAACTTAAAGTAAATGGGAAAGATGACAACAAAAAATTAAGGCCTGATGCTACTCAAAATCCTTTAAAAATTCTTATTAAAAAATGAAAAGGTGTAAGTTGTCCAAAAACAGGATTAATTTTCGATAAACTTACATCTAATGCATCCATAAATTTAGTGATTCTTCTCCATTTACACGGATTTTTTTTTCATTTTATTATTAAGAAAGATCCAATAATGAATATAAACTGTATATGGGTGATTCTCACGAAACATGACAATTCGGACCAACAAAATTTCTTCAAATTTAAAGTCTTCAAAACAATCTGAAATTTTTTTTGTATACTTCTTTAGCTACACTTATTAATATCATATAGACAGCAGTGTAGTTTATTGACATTTGATCGAGAGAGAAAAAAATAGAAATTCACCAAATCTTGAATGCCAGGAAAATGACATATTACCTTAGAAATTTAAAAAACAGTCATTTTAAGTTAATAGCAAGTAACTCAACTTAAGCATTTATGTTAGATGGACCATAAATTGCTTGAATTAATTCTTTTTATCCACTGTAGAAAGAAACAAAAAAAATTTTGTTTCTTTTATGTACGGAATAAAATTGTGTATAATTATCAATCATTAAATAAATAAATAACTTTGATTACAACCAAGCATATTACAATCATGCATAAACTTGGTATTAGGTTAATATTTGCTCTCCCTCTTTACAGTATTAGCAGTTAAAAAGAATTTTTGGTAACACTTCAATGTCCTGGCATTCATAAGCCAGGAAAATGACAGCCAGGATAATGACAAATTCGCCATTTTATAGCATATAACTTTACTTTAATTTAATACGTTGGCCGAAGACGTTTATATTCTGCAGAAAACAGTATTTCTTAAAATAACTCAGATAAATCTATGTAGTTTTTGTTATTAATAATTTCAAGAAGCCAGGAAAATGACAGCATAAAAACCTACTCACCTTGAAAAATTTTTTGAAATAGATTTTGAGTCAGAAAATTGGTTCTTTATTCATGCAACAAGACATTTTCAGATAGGAGGGTATCTAATCAATCTATTAACATAAGATATTGATCCCTGGCGCTATCTATTTTGGCTTTAAATCTGTAAATAAAAGTAGCCTGGAAAATGACAGATTTTCATGGGACAAACAAATTATTGACAGAAAAATTTTTTTTAAAGTAAACAATAACCCTCTGCGTATATTCTGGAAATGCTTACATAGGATAAGGTAAAAAAATTAGATTTTGAAAAATATATGGGAAGTTTTGAAGCTAGTTATTATTGGAAATATTTTTTGGGACATGCCAGGAAAATGACATTTTGATATTCAATTAAATTTCTTAAGTATACAAAGCAGTCAATGCTAGTGCAATGTCATTTTAAAATGCTAACAGCAATGCTATTTATTAATTTTTTTTAAAAAAAAAGTTCTTTTAGTATTATAGTATTAGATCTTGGAGCAAGGGACAGGTCATGTTTCGTGAGAATCACCCATATATCGAGTAATGAATAATATTTTTATATCAAATAACACTAATAATAAACTTTGTAATGAATTTGTACAAGTATAAAAAAGTTTTCGGAAAACAATGTAAATCGATGTAAGCAAACCATAACCATCGAGACTCTCGGTGGCTATGTGCAGACACGTTTTTTCTTGTAGCTCTTCTGCACTGGTGAAAAGTTTTTGCTCTGAAATGACGAACAAGTCGGCCTCTCTTGTTCAGGGGCTCTAGATTTACCTACGATGATGTCAGGTATCCAATTACAAATAATATCACTGTGTGTTTACTACTCACTACTGACACGTAGTACGCATATAGGATTTTAATGAAATATTGCTATCTGTGTTTTTAAAATTTAGTTTTATTACCTAAGATCACTCTCGTTATTTTACAATTGAAGTATCTTTATATCTGGTAGGGTAAAAGGGTTTCAAACATTTTCCTGAAGTTACTCTAGACTATTATGTATAAATAGCACTTACTTTTACGAGAATAAGTAAAGATACAGATATTTTAAGTTCCCAACTTCACAAGTTGTGTGCTAATGATTTTGTGAAAAAAGAATTCCTCCTTAATTTTCATAGTAAAAATACTATTTAATGGTAAATAGCTTAAATTACTATGAAAAAAGAAAAAAAACGGTTACTCAATACCAGAATATTTTTTTATTGAAGCAAACCTTATCATTACATAATGAATGCTACACAGAAGAAGGTACAAGTGAATTAGTTGAAATTATTTGAAACCAGTGGCATACTTGTTTCAAATAGCATTAAAAACATGCACATCCTCAACTAACATCGAGCTGAAAAGATAAAGTACACATAATTAGTAACTTATTTCTAATTATGACACACTCTTTGCACCAAGTACTACGATCGTACAGAAATTATTGAAACGACAACTGTCACAAAGACATGATACGTCAGAAAAAAACAGCTAAAAAAAGGGAGGGGATAACCCAATGAGAACCCAAGATTGTGCACTATCATCCTCCCATTATGGCTTACCAAAACCCTCCGGGACTACAAGCACTAGTGCCTTAACGTTGCCAGCCTAACTGGTGTACTTACCTTCTTTTTTAATAAAACGTTCACTGTCAATCATTTATGTGCGACCTAAAGATTTAGCACTTAAGTAGAGAAAAATATTATCTCATATCGTACTAGTAAGATAACCTAATTGTAACAGAATGCAAACTAGAATCACAAATGTTTTTCATATAATTAAAATCTAATGACCTGGAAAAAGTTCGAACTCATCTGAAATGAAAACACATTCCCTCTCCTTGGAACAGCCACAAAATTTTCTAAATTTTTCCTGTTCTAATTTGCATGCTTTTAATTCTTATTACCGTGCACTTACACTTTGGAATATTAATCATTTATGGGTTAGTGATGTAAAATAACTCACCATTTGGTGTTACCACCTTGTCGTGGTGACAGGACTAACATGTGATAAGAACCCACTGAGCTATGTCTGCGGTAACGTAACTACCGGTACCCAACAAAGAATAAACAGCGGTGAAGAAGTCTAGATTTCATTGAAATAATGTAAACTAGTTCCCCATTGTTAGGTGCAATCTCTGTGTATAAAGAAAAAAGCAACATTTAGGGGCACAACAGCAGAGGATCTTGTAACGGATTTGCACCCTCCTCCCCTCCTAACCAATACTGGGATTGGTCAAGCGTAAGGGGGGAGAAGAAAAGTTTTTTTTTTATCGTTGGTTTGTTCTACATTTTTCATAATATTGGTAAACAGTACTGTACTATTAATTAAGATTTTTCTTTGAAAAGTAATTTATATCATCCATGTTAATTAAATCTTCTAGTACATTTCAACGTAGAAAGAAAGAATGAAATAGCGGTTGGAGGGAAGCGACGTACCCAACCATACTTGTAGAGTTGTCCAACAGTCGGTTCACAGGTGACGTACTTCCTGTCGGTTTTTTTCTTATACACATGCGCTGGATCTTAGTTCAAATTACGCTCTGCTAAATCAGAGCATGTTGCTCACCCTGTAAGTTGTTTTTCTGGTATAGTGTACCGAACCGAGCAGTTCGCCTTAGTGAACGCATTCGAAGAGCTGTACTTCTTCTCCTTTCTATATCCCTTGCTCCCAAGACTGACAGATCAGTCAGAGACACCAGACTAAGAGTAACACCCTAGCCCACCTGATTTGGGGTTGAGCATTGCGTTAACAACCCAACCTAGAAAAAACCTTCTAATTACAGAAACTGAAATCATGAAACTGAAATCATCTCTCTGAGGGGCAAAATACCTGGCCACAAATAGATGGAAAGCTATGATAGAGGCCCTATACTACAATTCGGAGTGAAGAGGAACATGAAGTGAAATGAAAAATAAATTAGTTATCCTATCAGGTCATCTTTTTTGTGTCAACTGAAATTATAAGTTCAGGGAATTTTCAGCTCTAATTTTGACCCTTTTTATATAGATAACTTTATGTTTAAATAATGATTAACAGACATTAATAGGATTTGTAAATAGTAATTGATTATTTACCGAATCTTTAATGTCTTCTTCTTCATTTGAATCGAGGTTACATTCTCCATCATAATCAATATGGGCATAAGTGCTTGTGTACTTCAAATACTTCTCGTAAGGGCAGTATTCTTCACAACCAGGTAAGATTAATACCCTAGGAGTTTGATTGGACTTGTCCTCATATGGTGTATTCAAGTAAAGAATTCGAATGAAATAATTGCCGCCTGATCCAGAGTACATCTCAAATATGATAGTTGCACAATAATGTATGATCTCAGGGCGGAGATTGTTTAAAGCACCCAAAACCGCAGCAATGTTACCATCGTGCTGAAATTGAAAAAAAAATATTGCTTATTTTTCGAATAGGTTATATACTAGAACATTAATCAGTCTTGAACAATCAATATTAAAAAAGCAATGAGTATAGAAAAGTTATTAAAAAAATATGAAGAATGTAGCTCTGACGTAAAAATTAAGAAAAACACTTGAATTTTATTGTTTTGTTTCAGTGAATTTCAATTTACTTTTTTTTAAATTTAAAAAAAAAAAATTTCTCTAAATTTTATGCGTGTTTCCTAAATTTCTTTGAGTTAATTTTGATCAAAAATAATAAATTCAATGTAAATAAAATTTCCTTTTTTTTCCTTTGATTTTTCAAATGACATCTCTATTTACTGCATACAAAAAAATACTCATCAACTTCTATGAAAAGTAAACTAACTTAACAACAACTGGTTAAGGTTCTTAAAAAATTAATTCTTTCTCATAATTTTTGTTCTTTTCAATTGGTATTTAAAAATTGACTATAATTTTACATTAGCTTAGAATTTAAAGTTTCTATTGCTAACGAAGTCCGATTTTGTTTGAAAGAAATTACAGTTATAAAGCTTTATTTTTTTGGTAAATATCCACATTTGTAAACAATTCAAGTAAACCCTTTCGTCATTTATTAAGTTTGAAGCCTGTTTTATCTAGTTTTTACAAAGCTTCTTAACCCTTGAAGTACTAGTTGTCGCAAGAACTCCCAGTTTAAAATTTGAAGTTGTTTGTTGCTATGGAAACAAAAATAAAACCATTTCTAATGAGGGAGAATTAAAGATGTGACTTGATTCTCCCTACCAAAATCAATGAGAAATGAAGAGTTATCTTAAAAGCCAGAAAGTCCTCCGCACAAATTAGTATTTAAATATCTAACATGAGATTTTGTTGAGCACATATTATAAATGCTAGAAAAATGATCAAACGATAAAATTGTAATGTAATAACCGCCATGAATAGTTATAAGAAAGAACAAAATGTAATCTACACAATATTACGAACGTTTAAATCCCGAAATATCTAGTGGAAGGAAATATTTTATTTCAGACATTTCATTCAAAGAATTTTAAAAATTTATTATAACTGCCCTTAGTTTTGCTATTTAATCAAGGTGCAAAGCTACTAACTAAAATACTGAATCAAGTACGTCATATCATAAAACATTTCGTTTACTTACTAACACAATCAAGTATATTATTACATGAAGCATTCCATTTACTCACGAACAAGGTACTCAATCAAGTACATTATTACATATTTCATTTACGCTCGAAAAAGGTACTCAATCAAGTACATTGCTGCATGAATCACTTCCTTTACGCTTGAACAAGGTACTCAATCAAATGCATTATTACCTGAAATAGTCCGTTTCCACTCGAAATTCTTATGTTTGCTACACATTAGATAATGGCGTAATTTTTTCACTTAGCCGAGTCCAACAAATAAAATATGCGAAACTTACCAAGTAAAAGAAATTATATATTAAAAAAAAATTTATAATAGAAATAATTTTAAACTTTTAACGGAATGTAAAAAGCGAGCGTTTTTCAACGAAAAGAAACGTCGGTTTTCACATATATCAATAAGAAATAATGACAAAATTATGAACAAAAAATATGAAATTTTACTTCTAATTCTGTTTCCAATGCAAGAAAATTAAAATCAAATACAGCCTAAATAGAAACTCATAAAAAGATCTAGATATACATTTTTATGAAACATGAATTATACTTACTGTGGAATACGTTCGAAATTTCAGTTCTGGAGCTTGGTTGTTTACTTTAACGTTGAATACTTCGTTCATTAGACCAAGAACTGGACCTTAAAAATTAAAAAGTATCATGCAATTATTTATCAATGCATATTTTAAAAATATTTTTAGACCCCTCTCCATCTTTTATAATTTATTTCTAATTTCACGAAATTTAGTATGCGTGTATCGAAATCTGTCTAACACACACACACACACATATATATATATATATATATATGTAATAAGCGAGTCAACAGCCTCTATGTTATCCCGCCAGATGTCGCTCGTCTGAACGAAAGGCATAGAACTTTCTTGATGTAAATGAAGAGAGTCAGTTGGAATTGTCTGTCCGAGTAGTTTCTAAGTGAAACTGATAACCTTAGTGGTTAAGACTCTAAGTGACTAT